TGAATAGGAAGGACGCGTACAACTACCTGAATGGTGAAAAGTTGAAACGGATTGAATCAAGAGATGTGAATACTTTATTGTGTTTACTTGACGGGATGAAGTTGAAAGACCAAACACTGGAAGAAAAACACGGTGTCGATCAAAGTGGAGCTCTAATAAGATTATTTTGGCACGACGGAATATTAAAAGCCGAGTATGAGGAGTTTGGTGATGTCTTAGTATTTGACAGCACCTATAAGACCAACATATATTGTTACTCCCATCTGTACACATGTATTCTTGGAGTTGTTACTATGTACAAGAAGACGACTCAACAATACACATGGTTGCTGCAAATTTTGTTAGAATTCATGGGAGAAAAGCCACCCAAAAGCTGGTTTGACAGATCAAGACGGGGCAATGCGCGCAACCATTAGGATTGTGTTTCCTGAGTCAGCCCATCGGCTTTGTTGCCGGCATATTTCACGTAATGTCAAATCAAACATAAAAAAACCAAGCTTTTTGACAGAACTTTCTAATTTAATGAATATGCCTTACTCCGTAGCCGAATTCGAACATAGACGGTCTGCATTGATTGCTAAATTTGGTCTTACAGACGATCCATACATAGCTGATCTTTACGAAAAATGCAGTCAATGGGCATAATCATTTTTTCGGGGACAATTCTATACTATGATGAGGAGCACACAACGTGCGGAGTCAATGAATGCCTCACTTACATAGAAAGTGCGTACCAGTTCCACACTTACATATTGTTTTTGACAATACCACACAAGCTTCTTGAATAGGATTCGAAAAAGGTTTAACGAACGGCAGAGAGAGTTTGATACACGTAAAACCTACGTATAAATTACCACAAGTGTACATTATCTCGTTTTGTAGAATAGTGAATTCCAGATATCGATCCACAGGGAATTAAGTTCCTAAACTTACCAAGTACCGTAATTATAGTATCTTAAACTTTATCTAGACATACGAAAGGGTGGGGGATGAAATGAAGCTAAAGGAAACAAAAATAAAAACACCGGTCCGCCAGGACAAGCAAGGAATCCCGACGTGTGATGGTTTCTAGGGTAAAATCCACCAATGTACTATCGATAAAGATCTACAAATCCGAATCTAATGTTGATTCTATGTTCGCTAACCCAGACACTAAAATACTCTAACCCCCGTCTCCAGTGTAGTTAGAGTCTACCCACAGGTCCGACGTCTCCGTTCAGAACCTGATATTAAGAGAGCATTTAGGTCAAGTCCTTAAGGGCTACCCGAGGTGCATCACGTCTCCGTTTCCACAACCCGAGTTATGTTTTCCTAAAATCAAACGAGAAATCCTCTCTCGAGTTCATTCTCATTTACAATCAATTCAACTGTTAGCCAAACAATCGAAAGCATTTAATACAGGAAAACATAAACAAAATGAAAGAACGACGAATAGATCACAGATCCGGAAATCAAAATCAATATATACAAGGTTTCATTTCCCTAAAAGAAAATGCTCAGTTCATTACAAATATAGCATCAAAATGAAGAACACGAGAAATCATAAACTAAACGTAAAGAAAAGCTTATGAAAAACCCTCGTCGAAGCTTCCCGCGAAGAACTGGCGAGAACCGAAGAGAAAACCGAAGAAAAGGTCGAGATATCGTCGAGAGGTAGTCGAGAGGTTTGAAAAAGAAAAAGAGACCTTCTATTTATAGTAAGATATCAAAGAAAAATATCTTGTCTCGATTTCTGTGCCCAGATCGCGATCTGGCAGCCTCGAAAACTGCGCACCGCCTTCCCAGATCGCGATCCAGGAGGTTCAGATCGCGATCTGCCCCAATTTTTCGCTGCTACTGGAATTCGCCACCAGATCGCGATCCGGTGTTTCTGGATCGCGATCTGGCCTCTGCATCAACTTCAAACACTTTGTTCACCCTTTTTAAGCCCGAATTTGACAAATATGCATTTCACAAAGTTGTAGCCCTTCAAGTTGTCTTTCTAGATCCACTTGACTGAGCTCAATCGGACGTCGTATGCGAGAGTTATGCTTGAAATTCCAAACACTGCCACAATCCGCGAGAATGCACTTTTGCACGTGTTTGGTTTGATTCTCGGCTTCGCTTCCAAAATCGTTTCAAATCGGCAAAAATAGCTTCTCTTTACCCAAAATAAAAATAAAACAAAAACAACATAATATATACAAATAAAGCCGAAAACTCGGACGAACGAAGACCAAAACTCGAAGAATTGATAAGTGAAAATCATGCAAAATGAACACTTATCAAGGTTTAACCAAAACAATCTGGTAAAGGCTTAGTAGGCCGTCTTGAGGGCCATGCCGCACGCATCTGCACTAGAGCCATTCTTAAGCTTGTATGAGTTCAGTTGCAGGAGGAGGCAAACATAATATCATCAGAATATCTGATATTGTAGGCCACCGACATACATTCAATTTCTAAGACCACAACTTTGGCCCAGCAGACGAATTGACGGCCGTTGTCGATTTGGATAAGGAAGAATTCCTATGCGACTGTAAGATGCTCGAATCTGATGATATCCCTTACCGACATTCCATATGTTGCTTTAAGAATCTGAAACTGAATCAGTTTCCGGCTAAAAACATCAATTCCGTGTGGTTTGTCGATGTTGGAAAGCGGCTCACATCTGCTTTCTCGTATCAGCAGACGGACAACCTCTACACTAGTGGACGTGTTAAGCTGAGGGAGGATGGGATTGGATTTAATATCACACCGACTGACGAGGATGATGAATCTTGTTCACATGTACATTCTGACGGTGAGGATCCAATTCAAAAAGTCAAATGTCCCATAAATGTGGTGGATCCTTACTCATACTTAATCATGATAAATGTCTTTTTCCGACGATAATTAACCAGGAAATAAATTTTACTCTACTACAAAATATATTAGGAAGAACAAAAAAAAAAAACCCAAGAATTAAAACTACTTATTCATACTTATTCCATGCAAGAATTAGAATTTACTTCTCTCCAGCACAAAAGGACTCAATTTATTTAGCACTGATGTAATATTTAAAACCCTAAAAAAAAAATTTATATATATATATATATATATATATATATATATATATATTTTCCTGCCAAATAAATATATATTAGGACATTTTATGATAAAATTCAACGACAGCAAAAAAGGTCAAACTATAACACATTTAACTCTCGACACGATCCGGCACCCTTTCGACTTGGCTCCCACCTCGACTCGAGATTTGTGGGGCTTAATGATATGCCTAATTGGGCCGACCTAATGGACCCACAATTCATTTATTTATTGGGCCACATGCCCAATTTAAAAAAAAAATACACGAAAGCCCAAACACCTTCAAATAAGGCTTGGGCCAAACAAAGTAAATTCAACTCAATCAACGACATATAAATAGAGGTTTTTACTTATTTGTTAAGGTACGTTCTATTATTCACAACAATTCTAGTGCTTATATTCTCTCTACAATCTTCATGATCCTTACATCTGACTGGAGCGTTGGAGGGGTTTCCGCCGGATCAACCCCGGCTTAGTTCACGTGTATTACTTTCACAGAAACCTCATGACCATCCAGCTCATGAGCTAGTGATCCACTTCGCTCTCCCAACTCGTTTTACTACATTGCCCAAGGTGATCTAAGTACTAGCATCATCAATATTCTATTTATTTTGCTCTTTATTTTTGTTGTTACAAATTGCAGTTTGTATGTTGCTAATTGTATTTTGCAATTCACTAGTGTAACTTGCATATCGTTGATACAACTTAGAGTGAGACAGCCGTGAGGCTACTTAAAAAGGAGGGAGAGAGGATTAGAAGAGAGATAGAGTGAAATGTGGGATTTTGTTCATGTTTTTCATAACTAACTATTTTAATATAAATATTAATTGAGGGTATTTATGTCGAGAGAGTAATAATTTAATTTAATTTATATTACATTTATTGGTCAATGGACCTGTAGCTATAATCAACTAATAAAATGGATCTCCATTCATATAAGTTCCAAATCGGGGGAGGGTTTCTAGCCCATTATCCCTATTTTCTTAAGAATAAGTTCTAAAATTTGAGAAATATTCCTTAGAATCTAAAAAAAAAAATTGTCTACTATTACTACAGTAAGGAACAATTGTAACCTATGTAGCATGGACACAGAAACGACGATACAGAAAAATAGGGAACGGATACAGGGACACAACATGTACCAAAAATGGATATACAAGAATTTAGGGAAAACATGTAAATATTACAAGTATCAGGGCATATTTATAAATATGATATGTAAACATACATAAGTTTTTATTTATATATATATTCCCATACAAATATATTCAAAATTAATATTAGTATAAATTATTAATTTGATCATTAAATCATTTAAATAATGAAGGGTAAATTCCACTTTTCCTCTTTGTACTTTGGCTCGGTATCTCTTTACCTCCTTCTACACTCGATTGCATCGGTTTGTCCCTCTGCACTTGAATTTTTTTCTCAATGTAGCCATCGCTATTAGTTGTCAGACAACATTGACACCGTTTGATCTAAACTCTGAAATTACAAAAACGTCACATCTCCCAATTTAAATAATTATTACAAAAATTAGAAAAAACAAAAAAACAAAAGATAAAACAATTAAAACTTCAAGACAAACAAGAAAACATAGTTCACGACAACCACAATTTTTTATTTTTTTTATTTTATTTTTATTTTTTTAACAATTATTTAAACTGAGGGGTGGATTTTTTATAATTTTCAAACTTAAAGATCAAATGGTGTTAATGTGAAATGTATGAAGACTGACAGTGAGGGCCACATTGTAACAATTTTTTAAGTACATGGAGCCAATCGATACAATCGAGAGTAGCAGAAAGTAAAGTGATATTGAGCTAAAGTATAAGGGGGGAAATGGAATTTACCCTTTAAATAATTAGGGAAGCAACAAAAATATTTGGAAATTTGTTATTCAAACGTGTTACTAACTTTTTGTAAATTGCAAAATGTCCCACAAGGTGTCCTCGAGTCTCGAACACAAAACATGTCGAAAACGCGGATACGTTAACAAGTTAGAAGTTTCCAAGCTACACAGATTGTAACACAACTACAGAACAGAGAAAATGGGTCTACAGTCCATACTAAAACATAAATGAATATGAAAGATGAGTAGAGCAGAAGTGCTTAACCCCCCGTTAGAAAACGAATTTACAAAAAAAACAAACATTGCAACGGACAGACGTGTAAACAAACCACATAGAACTGTATAGTATCAACCATAGAGGTCAATCAATCGATCTCTAAGCTGTACAGATCAACCAAATAGCTTTGTGCCTAAAATCTAAACAACTCCAAAAGGCGAACGATCGATCGATCAATCACACATCCCGTTTACTTTTGCCTTCCCTCAACTCTGAGCCGATATATCTCCTCAAATCCAGGAGGAATACTGAGATCTTGGTCCTCCGTTTTGACATTTATTAATCGAGGAATAATAATAGGTTGTCTCGGAACTCGAACATCTTCTCTTCCTACACTGATGCCACCTATCATGTCTATCTCCATGTCTACTTCCTCCTTATTGTCACCATTATTATTATTATTATTATTATTATTATTATTATTATTATTATTATTATTATTATTATTATTATTATTATTATTATCCTCTTCCCAGGGTTTCATCGACAATTTCGGTAGCTCGATTTTCAACAGACCACTTGTATCTTGTTTCACATTATGAAATACTCCCCAAAGGAAGTTCTTCCCCTCCCAACCTGTGTAATAATTCCAAACATTAATGCCGATTTTTTTTTTTTTTAAACATTCGGTGAACACGACGACGGAACAAAGAGAGAGAGAAATGAATAAGGGCATTCCTAGTTAAAGCTTACATCAAAGATAAAAGGGACCATAAAAGAAATATATATAAATAAAAAGATAAAGGGAGCATGGCATCGAAGCAACGTAGTGATTAGTGAATGAAGAGAACTTTCAAGAAACCTGCATAGATTCACATTAATGGATGGCATTCTAAACCTCATTAGACTTTACCATGGAAAATTACAGTTTCCGTCACTCGAGTTTGCACCGATTTCACATTTGGTCCTCATGTTTCAACAATTTAACAATTTTGGTCATTTCCATCAATTTACCGTTGGTTCGTCAGTTAAGATAGTGATGGGCACATGCTTCATTCCGTTAGTACTAATAGAAAATTAACGGAAAGGACTAGAAGTGTTAAATTGTTGATACATGAGGGACTAAATCTGTTTTTTGTGAACAAGGGGGGCCAAATATGAAATAGAGGTAAAACTTGAGGGACGAAAAGTGGAATTTTGCCCGACTTTACCAACAAAAAAGACCTTGGTAAAAAAACATTTCCATGCAAACCATAAAGACAACACACATAAGAAATACAAGAGCTTACATTGGCAATTAACAGGCAAAAGTTTGGAGGTGAAAACCAAAAGCTCCACATCAGCAATTTGTATCCTCAATGCCATGTTTTTCACAGTAATGGACTCGAGCAGGGATATATAATCCTCCGATCTATAAAAAACGGGACGACCAGTTATAGCAATATTCAGAAACTGCATTCAATTGATTGTTTTTTTTTTTTTTTTACTACGGTTAACGAAACACGAAACAGAGGCACACCTCTCTCCACCACCGGGAAAGAAGTACAACCCAATGTCCCTCTCGTACGGAGTATATTCCTCGAAGAAATCGATCCAGAATTTTTTCAACGGAACCAATTGTACATGAATCACTTTCGGCATTTGCTTCGAGAATTCGTAGATTTTTCTACGAACGTGTGAAGGAGAATGAGCTTGAATCTGATGATTCACTTCCCCACGTCGATCATCTTCCTTGACAATGAAGCTTCCCCTAATCAAAATGGAAACGAGAAATAAGTTGACATTATCGTTTTTTCTTCTCTTCTGTAGAATGAAAAAAAATTCTCTTACAAAGATTAGGTAACTTACGTCCATAAAGCATCCAAAGAAGGAGATAGTGAATACGTTTCTACATCAGGCAAAAGATCATTGTTCACATTCTCGTCATACTTCTTCAAATCAGACAAAGTTCTCGACTCGATAGCAGTTTGACCAATATCACCTATAAAATAGGTATAATTTCAGTACTAAAATTCATCAAAGTCATAATACAGTTGGGATAAAAACAGTCAAAATATACTGCAGACTGTTCGATGAGAAATAAGGAGAAGGCAAGACGAAATGCTTTTGTTATTTCTCGATAAAAAAAAGATTCAGAAATTTTGATTTTCGGTTTGTGCTTAGGTTACATGTTTGATATGTTCTCTCTTAGTTGCAACACTTTTCATAGTGAATCAAAAAATATTAGCTTCACTTCGTCTTTTGAGGGGTCTGTTTCTGTAACTCACGAGAGTTACAGAAACGTACGAAGAGAGAGAAAGCTACCTTGTGAGTCGTTTGCTGATGGTGCTAAAGGGGGGTTCTTCCGTAGTGATCTTCTCCCCTTTGTATGAAATAACTGAATTTCTGCTGCCGTTTCCTTTTGCATACGTTTGTTCACAAGGTCCATAGACTGTTTGGGACTGCTCACTGATGTTTGAATTTCTGACACAAAAAAAAAACCATATTTTAAAGTTTCACATGAATTAAAACGAAACAACTAAGCTTAGAATATTGCATAGCCTATCTATAGAAATCGAAGAACTGATGGGATGATTTTAAAGCTCTCTCTTATTAAGAAAGCTCGATTTTTTCCCTAAAATACTAATCACCTGTGAGTTTCTTGACCTTTGGAGGTTTCCTTCCGGAAATGTCGATAAGGCCATGTGCCTGAGGCTTTACGGTAAGTACTGCAGGCCTCAGCTGCGATCTCTCTGGTTGGTGTTTAGGGAATCTGTTTCTCGAGTGGGAAATGACGTTTGAAGGGCCGGGACATTTTTTCTCACCCGACGAGAGCTTAATAGCTTCTGTAACAGAGATGTACTTAGTCTTCCCAGTTGCCACCATCTTCTCCCAATTTCTTTTCACCAATTTTCGTCTCTCGGCAGTTTGCGTTTGCTCGGCAAATTTGACGGTGTTGCTTAATTTCGAGACGAGGGGCAATATTTCTGCACTTGGTGGTTTATTAGGTTTGGAGCTGGAGTCGCACTCTTCGCAAAGCCATGTACCTACTGGGGGCTCCTCAAGAAGCGTTCGCATGCAATAGCTAAGATTGAAAAAAGAAAGAAAAAAAAAACACTCCGATGAAAGATAGCCGAATAACGGATCTCAGACGAAAAGCAAATGTAGTTTAGTTCTCAACGAAACGAGAAATACAGAAGAAATCTTCTTACGTGTGTTCACAATTGACTTTGCATTGAGTGCAGGTCACTATTGCATCGGCAACTCCAATGACACCACAGATGTCACATTTCTCCTCCTGCAAAATCGAGACGAGCGGCATCAAATCCCGTGTTAAGGAGTTACATAAGATGTTTGTCCTTATGACAGCATAAATAATATATAAGAGGAACTACCTCACAATCAAATAAAAATACTATGCATGACGAAGTTTCGGGTTTCGGGTTTCGGGGTTCTTATCCACTATCATGATATGCAAATAACTCGTGAAAAATTTCATCATCCGAATTCTTGAATGTCAATGTTTGAAGCTAATTACGAAAATGTACGTAAATGTTAGAAGCTGATTTCTCTATTGAACTGTATACATAATACGAAGTGTAATTTAGACTTGTAGGCTTCTTTGTCCGACTGAGATGCAAGTACGTGGAGAAGATTAGAGGCGGCTTAATAAATACTCTTCAATCAACTTGGGAAATAATTTAGCTGCATTTCTGTTCAGACAGAATCTAAAGATCCATCGCTTAACAACCAACTCGTCTGATCTTCGTCAAATTAACATATCAGAAAACAAACGCAAATGGAATCAAATTTCAAGGCAGGTCTCTTTTAACAGTAGCATTCAATAGCTATCCGTCCAGGAAGATGAATTTTAATTTATTCAGATTTAAGAAATAATACTTTGTCGGGAAGTTCGGTTTTTCCTCCCGACCTAAACAGGACATCAGAAAGCACTTGACGTACTCAAACGGCATATGGTAAAGATGACAGATTTTGTTTAAATAATTGATTCACACCACTGTGAGGATCTTGTTTAACTTATTTCGGAAATGAAGATCGTTTGACAATTATACTGGACAAAAAATTCGTAGCTTCCTTCTAGACTATTTTTCCTTGGACTCGTAACTTATAAATGAGTAATCCGGAAATCCAAATCCAGCAAAATATATCCGCGATAACTAAATATAGAATGACGACAATGCACCAAAAATATAATCGAGCAAACATCAAAATTGTCATAGAAATGTGTACTAATCACCTTTTAACCATATATACATACCTCTCGGTTTAAATAAATTTGGCTCGTATATAGCAATAATAACCTCTAGAAAATGTAACGTTTACCAGTTGCATGGCTAGTTACCTATTTCACTACAAAGTCGTAAGATAGCACTGAATCCCGCATGAAGAATTTCACTACATTATGAGCAAATTATAATACGATACTGTCAAAATATGACATAACTAGTTTAACATGACTTAATGCTATATATTTTAAATATTAAAAAAAAACGTAAGTTTTTCGACGATTTGTTATCCAACGTGCTCAAAGGAAATCTCTATAGACGGTCTAAAATTTCTTGTAATTCGGTAATTGCTCTGACCAATTAATGAATTAGCGCCATACGAGCTTATTGCAATATAATTTATCTCGTTCTAGGCTCTGTTACAACACGGTGAAACTAAATGGTTCGAATAAGGAGGGAAAAAAACGAAGAAGTTAGTACACCTAATTTATAATAATGTAAAAATTCCAATAATTTTTCATTATGATATATTCAACAAGCTATGTTTTAAATCTTGAAAAGTTGACCTTCCTCTAAACAATTCCTGGCCTAAAGGAAACAACAAACAATAAACAATTAAGATATTAGTTAATTAATAATTAGTAGTACTAATCATTTAATCACATGTTAGACAAAGATGTATCTGAAACTGACTCATTCTCATATGTGCTTCTTTGATAACCTCTTATTCATATCATACACGTGGACTTTTCATATCCAATAAATAAATTCAAGAAAAATCAAACAATAAATTGTTTTCATTATACAACCCCAACTAAATTTATTTCCATGAAATCCGCAACCAAATATATATGTGCATCGAGTAAATCTCACTCTCGTGAGTGGTATTGCAACTATACGAGAGGTGTAAACCAACTCGGCTACGAGCTCAACCAAGAAATCTAAGTATCAAACAAGATTACATTTACTTCTTATTCTGAAAATTATTCAAAATTCACACGAAAATAATGTTTAATTATTTTTTTCTTACTTCATTAATTAGTTAAATTTTTAGTGTGGAATACCTACTTCTTTCTTTAAGCCCCTGTTTCCTAAGAGTAACCATTTTCTCGAAAAATCAAAATTCCACGTACAATTAAACCTCTATAAATTATAAATTAATACAATCGGATCTAGCAAAATCCTATTAATTTAGCAAAATATTAAATTATCGAACTAATAATTTAATACGTTGGTCACCGAGTATTAATTATCGAGGTTCTACTGTATCGTGAAAAAATTGAAGAAAATAGTAACAATGGAAAAATTAAATAAAAATCCAACTGAAAACACCAACAATTTGCAAGCTTTCGCCCAAAAAAGAGGAAGAAAGAGAACAGGATATTCCCTCGGAAAACAAGCACCACAAAGCAGATGTTCAAATTTCGAGAAACAACACATGGTTCCATTACAAAATTGAAAAATGTTGTAAATCACAAACATTTGTCACAATTGAAGCAAACGTGACAGCATTATTTAATGCAAGAACAACAAAAACAAAAAAAAAAAACAAAAAAGAAGTAAGGTTTTCTCACCATGTGGTGGTGGGCCTGAGATGTTGGAAAGCAAGTATTTGTGCGTTTTGTGGCTATGTATTTTCACCGCAGCTGTTCGATTAACCTACTCGAGATGCGCACACCCATCACCCATAATTCGAACCACAGTGTAGAGAGAGAAAGCGCTTTGTGTGTGTGTGTGTGTGTGTGAGAGAGAGAGAGAGGGAGGTGAGTGGTAAGTGGGTGGGTGGAAAATGACAAAACGTGGGGAGGTGGAAGGCCCTACTACAGTAGTAGTATAAACTTCAGACAATTTTTATTATTTCTCTAAAATAAATCTCGGTGGTTTCTCGGAGTAAATCTCGAAAAATTCATTTGTTGTATTACTTATAATTAAATGGTTAATTACAATTTACACCCCTAAAGTATTGGGGCGGTAACTCTTGATCGCTAATGGGAAGTCATCTTACCAAATTTCTCGCAACTCCATTTTTTTCAAAAGTTCTCCATGAGATTATCAAATTCAGCACGTGTAGCATCATAAGCACCTTTTCAAAACAACCATAATTAAAGATATAATCAATATGTGCATTATACCGTGACAAACTGCAAGAATAACAAACTTCAATTAAGGAAACTATGTAAATAATATTTAACTTACATTTATTAAATTGAGTCACCATAGACTTCCGAAACAAAACAGTAAAAGTGTGCGGAGTCGGGAAATATTGTCCTTACACCTTCCAAACTACTGTGGTTTCGGTCCGAAATAAACGTCAACGGCCAATGGTTACCAATAGCTATCTTCAATTTCCTCAAGAAATAGTTCCAATTCGCATTCGTTTTCTCACTAACCACTGCAAATACAACCGAAAATGAACATGTATAGTAGCACAACCATGAAAATAAATTGCAAATTATACTGCAAAATTAGAAATATAATATAGTAAATCAATGACATAGAATACTGTAGATTAACCCTTGCAAAGTATACTGCAAAATTATATAGATAACGGCATCTACACAAAGAATTGGACGGCATGCCTTGAAACCAGCCAGTGAGCCAGCAAAGCGGAAAAACACCTGTGAAACTTCATAGTCTTTCATATCAGCATCTAAGTCAAACACACTACCTCGATACTCCTACCCTCTTCCCCAAAGTACGAACTCAGAAACGCATATTGTTAGAATTTATTTCGTGCAAATATAAATTAATTGTGTCAGATTCAGTTTTTCGTTACTGTTGCGTGAAGTGTTGCAACAATTCGTGAAACAGTTTGTCAAAACAGAAATAAACGAGACACAAATTTAATGTGGTTCGGATACAATTGTACCCACTGGCGGAGCTTCTAAGGGGCCGGGGGGGGGGGGGGGGGGGGGGGGCTGTTGCCCCCCCAAGAAATTTTTTTTTTTTTTTTAGCTATTTTGACCTAATATTTTTTGAATATTACTTTTGACCCCCCCAAAGATTTTGTAAATATGTTTCTTAACCCTTACTTTTTTGTTTATTCTCCATAATTTTATATAAATTATAGATATATATTATATTATAGATATGTGTCGTAATTTTTTTCGCAGTATAAACCTATTTTTTCAATGTCTTGTGAACCTAAAATTTTTTTCGGGGCGCTGCCCCGAATTCCGAAATTTTAGTTAGCCCCCCCTACTTTCTAATCCTGGTTCCGCCCCTGATTGTACCCTACATCCACAGGGACCTGCAAACGAAATGTACTAATTTTTAGTTTTACGAATACAATAGTAGGACTTAATAAAAATACAAAGACTCCCTCTTTGTTGACGTCGTTCTTGTATACTACGTTGAATTATAAATCTTCAATTTGCAGCACGTCCCTTGCTCCGTGTTAAGTGTATATTTTTACACTTTATCGTACCTTTTTATTTAAGCTTTTGGTATGTTTTAACGATAATTGGTGCTTAAAAAGTTGATTTATTGTATTTTAGGTACAAATTGAAGAATTAGAAAAGTATGGGGTAAAAACTACAATTTTGGAGAAAATATGGGCCAAAAGTGAAAAAACCAAAATATGAATATTTAAAGCTCGGACGGCCGTCCGAGTTTTAGTTCAAATTGTGGGACGTCCGTCCGAGACCCCGAGTCAGCGCAGTAAAGGGATTTGAATTGCACAAGGAAACTGCCTTCTTTCCCAAGTTTTTCACCCTATATAAGACCAAGTCAAACACACAATTGGCGATCTTTTTACGCAATTTCAAGAGCAACAAAGCTATAACAAAGACGAAGAATTCGAAGACTCTAAGCATAGATTTATCGTTTATGACTTATTTTATTTGTGTTTTTCCTTTAATCATGAGTAGCTAATTTTCTTATATCTAGGATTTTATTTGGAACCCTATGTGGGATTTATGAACCCAATTTTATGATTTTATGCAAGTTTTAATGCCGGATTATTTCTTCTACTTATTTTATTAAGTGCATGAACTTGATCAACTTATGTGCTTTTATGTTATTGTTAATCGCATGAATCGGAAGATCGGGTTAATAATTAGAACTGTGGTAGAAGAGCCTTTGTGGTATTAACATAAGAATATAGTCAATCTCTTAGGTAGCCATTATTGAGATTTGTAGAATTAATTGCATAGGAATATAGTAATTGAATCTAGAGTATTAGAATCGTAATACACGCGGAAGCGCGGGTTATGATTATTTTAGCATCTCATGTTAATAATCCGGGTTAATTGCTTGCATAATTGAAAGAATTGGGGGAGTAATAATCACATAGGGGGAAGAATAAAATCCTAGGCTTGTCTACTTTGATTAATCTTCGTGTTTAAATTGCTTTCTTGTTTTTGCTTGCTTTTTAATTTAGTTTATTCTCTCAAAACTCGACTGTGTAGGGTGGGCTTGATAATAATTGGTAGAATTTAGCGTCTATGATTAAGTAATTAAATATTCCCTGTGGGTTCGATATCCGAACTTAATTGTCCACTATATTATTTGTATGATAAGTGCACTTGCGTGTAGGTTTTCGGCCAACAAGTTTTTGGCGCCGTTGCCGGGGAATATTTTAATTATTTATTTTATTCTAGCTCTAGATTTTAACAATTTTCACGATTTACCCATTTAATTTTTGTTTTATTTTATTTTTCTTTTTAGGTATTGTGTATGCGTAGGAGACTCGATCTTGCTAGAGGACCGTTTGATCCCGAAATCGAACGCACTTTTTGAGCCGCTAGGAGACGTCAACACGCAACCAATACAATGGAGGACGAAGAACGCAGACGCGCAGAGGGCAATATACTCAATGCCAACGGAAACCAAATCCAAGGCCCATCCCCCTCATGAACTCCCATTACAGCCAGTAGCTAGGCCACGGGCATTTCAAGACTACATAATCCCCACTCTCGACGGGTTCCGACCGAGCATCCAATATCCACCTATTGAGGCGCACAATTTTGAGATCAAGCAAGGCCTCTTGACGATGCTCCACAATAACGGGCTATTAAGTGGATTGGCGGGTGAAGATCCCCATCTTCACATTGTCAATTTTCTAGATACCTGTAATTCCCACCGTGAAAACGGTGTTTCCCAAGAGGCGCTTCAATTAATTCTCTTCAAGAACTCTTTACATCGGCTTAAACGGAGCTCTCAAAATACCTCGATGGCTCTGTTTTACTAAGGTCATCTTCAACAGTTGTTTAAAAATCGGGTGTCTATATCTATAATTTAAGAGACGAACAGTGTCATGCAATACACTTTTATTATCACACTCCAACAACATTGTTTATATTTTACATAATTATCATATTTTATTATTTTACAAAAACTTTAGTTCTAAATTAATTTTAACAACTATAATATTAATTTCACATACATACATGTATCTTGTTTTAGTTTTTTACTCAGAAACTTTTTGGAATTAAAATATATTGCAAAGTATAATTTAATGTTATATATACATATATTTTAAAAAAAAAACTAAACACTCTTTATTTTATTAATAAAAAGAAACATATATGTGCAAAATAATTACCACCTGTAAAATAATTATTGTATTTAATATATAAAAAATAGCACTGATGGAACTTTTATTATTGTTTATTTTTACACAATTTGTAAAATTGTAATTTTGGTTTGTCAATTTTGAATATGCAAAGTTAAAATGTAACAAATTTTGCCTTTTCCCATTTTGGTTTGTACAAATTTCAGCCCCATACGTCGGCTTAAACGGAGCTCTCAAAATACCTTGATGACTCTGCATTACTAACCATTTTATAATTATGGAAAACAATGTATACATAGCTCTAGAATTAAGGTTTAATATAATAACATGTTGGAACCACGACTGCACTTTAACGATCGATCATAAATAATGGATTGCGGCTTAGACTCTTTTATACGCTTGTCCAAAAATACAAAAAAAATACTTCTTCATATGAAGTCATTATAGTTATAGTGAATACTTCATTGGTAATATATTTGCAAAATCACACTATCAGAAATCTAAGTATAAACAGAGCTCCAAAATCAATTGTACAAGACCAAATTGACATGCATTCATATGTGAGTTTGCAAAGACAAACTTAGAAAGAAAATATTTCACTCGAGTTGCTGCGGCAGAGCTCAAAACTATGCTTTTTATTTATCTCTAATTGGATTTTCTTGTTCTACACTTCATATAGCAAAATGCTTACATATATATACTTAACAATAGAAAATTCTAGACTAGAAGAAGACAAATGGACACATGCTAGATACATTTGAGATAGATACATTTGACTGTTATTACTCCTTGATGTGTTATTCAAAGAGTCTAGTGCATTACCTTCCAACACTACCCCTTAATGCACTTTCTTTACTACTCCAATCAATGTTCTCAAGTAGATGAACTTTTCTTTGGTAAGAGGCTTAGTGAGTATGTCGGCAAGTTGGTCTTCTGACTTACAATACTCAAGCCAAATTTCACCATCTTCAGCGGCTTCTCTTATAAAATGATATTTGATGGCAATATGCTTCGTCCGATCATGACTTATTGGATTTTTCCCCATTGCAATCGCAGATTTGTTATCACAAAACAACACGGTTTCTTCGTTTTGCTTTTCACCCATGTCTTCCATAATCCTTCGCAACCATATTGCTTGAGAAGTAGCTTTGGCTGCAACAACATATTCTGCTTCGGCAGAAGATTG